CAGCAGATCTTCCAGCTACAGAGCCCTCACTAACTACTCAGAAAGTCACCTCAGCAGATCTTCCAGCTACAGAGCCCTCACTAACTACTCAGAAACCCACCGCAGCAAATCTTCCAGCTTCAGAGCCCCCACCAGCTCCTCAGAAACCCACTTCAGCAAGTGCTTCAGCCACAAATGTCCCTGCAACAGTACAAAATTCCCTCGTATCAAACACTGTACCTACAAAGACCTCATCAGCAGCCCAGAATCCCATCAAGGCCAATACTTCTGCTGCACAGACCACACCACGAACCCAAAGATCCTCCACAGCAAAAGCTTCATTTATACAGAGACGTCCAACAACACAAAGATCCACTGTTACACGTGTCCCAGGGAGTAAAGGGCTCCAGACTACACAAACCTCTGCCCCTATGACAGCCACTCGGGGTGTAGCTGTTCCCAGGGCAACCACACATTTTCATGCAAGAAGCACATCTAAAGGAAGAGGAACACTTCCTTCTTCAGGTCAGTTGACACTGGTCACATTTCCTGAGTATGAATTTAATGTGCTATGGTGCCACAATGGTGGAAATGTGAACTTGACCAAGATAGCAAAATTAAATAGTAGATAATTTATTGTAGCCAGGGTTTTTTTGGTTTTGCTTTTGGTTTTCCACACTAATGCTTTTGAATTTCTTCAGAGGCAAACTTGGATGGTGCTAGGGCAAATCTTTAAAAAAGAAACATTTTACAGGAAAGTAATATAGAGAATGATGTGACCCCACAAAGGAATACTAAATTAAGGGTGGTGAAAAAGTTCTGTTTTTTAGATTAACTTTAGAAAATCATTGAATTCTGCAAAACTCCTTCAAATAACCAAATATGGTTTATGGTTGGGTCTGCACTATTAACCATCCCATCCCTCAAGCACGGTACAGGATCTCTCCAAATTCCCTAGGGTTGTTAACCTAGTTATGCATCTCAACAATGTCTACTAAGTCATCGAGAAGACAGAGATTCTTTCAAATAGTTCACAGGCTCTTTAAAAGAGAAATTTTTATTAAAGTTGTATAACGTATGCCGTAGGCTTCAGAAATACCCATTGAATGATTGGATGAAATTCCTCTGACTAATTAATACTGCTTCACACCACCATGTCTTGTCTCACAATTTGCCTAATGTATGACATTTCTGTCTACATTTTTGTTATTTTGATAGGGACTACCAGAATTATAAACTCTTTTCTTTTTTGCTCACTGGAAAATATCAGTAGGACCGAGTCAGGATATCTCTCTCTCTCTATAAATATGAGGTTCCCTGGTTGGCTACTATCTGATAGGTTGGCAGTTTGAACCCTTGAAAATCTTATGGAGCAGTTCTACTCTGCACACACATGGTCACCATGAGTCAGAATCAACAGCAACTAACAATATATGTTAAAAAGTAAAAACAATGATACATATGTATATATTTGATTGTTTGAACTTCTTTATTGAAAACAGCACACATATAAAAAACTGCATAAAATATAAATTACAGTTCAACGTTGTTGTTGTTATGAGCCATCGAGTCGGACCCGACTCATAGCGACCCCTCCTTGGGTTTCCGAGGCGGTATCACTACAGAAGTAGATTGTCCAACCTTCCTTCCGAGGAGTGGCTGGTGGGTTTGAACCACCAGCCTTCTGGTTAGCAGTCAAATGCCTTAGGCACTACGCCACCAGAGCTCCCTATATTACATATATGTATCCATAAATAGTAGATAATATTGGTTTTTTTTTTTAATAATTTACATGAAAAGTATGCTATATATTTCATTATCTCATTTGACTTTCATCACTCAGCATTGGTTTTGTGGTTTATTTATGCTGATATATTTAGATTTGGTTCCTTACTTTAAGTCTTATATGATTATACATCCATTTCCTTTTTGACTTTTTAAATTTTTGTTACATATCTCTGCAGTCCAAAATTTTTTGGTTGAATGCACCCAAATTCTTCATTTTTTCATTTCTCCAAAGAGAAATACGTTTCATTTTCTATCAATTTGCTGTACAGCTAACTTTGCTGGAATATTTCTTTCTGTAAAAGATATAAGATAATTAAACTAAACCTAAACTAAATCTAAGGGAACAATTGTTGTGATAAAAATACCGCCAATATATGAGACCAGTTTTCTCTTTTATGTACAATTAATTTACTCTTTCAGGACAGTGTAATATACCACTTTTAGTTTTAATGAAAACAATAATAAATACCACTTATTGAGCATGCAGTACAGTGGCACATACCACACACTTCGCATTTTGTCACCTAGTCCTTACAACAACCTTGCAAGAGAAGTATTTTTAGCTTCATTTTATAGATGAGGAATTAGAGATTAACTTGTGTGATTCATGTGCAGTACATAGTTCATTGAAAATGGGCTTCAAAGCCTGTGCCTTTTCTTCTGTGCAATATTGCCTGATCTTAAAGGTACTTTGAGCAAATTTGTTTATCTCACTTAAGTGAGCACCTTGTTATTATAAATATGTTTATTTTAAAGCAAGTTATTTTTGCAATATATCACTCACAGTCATTAAAATATATAAGTAATAAGGTGATATGATAATTTAATTTTGATAGTCTGTTGAAAAGGACTTGGGTTTTTAATAGCTTCTTGATAGTAGGATTGGATGAATAGTTATTTACTTTTTAATTTTTCAAACTCGTTTCTTGCCATCAAGTCATATAACCAAATTAAGATAAAGTTTGTTCTGGTATTCAGTAATTCTTCGTCATGTATTTAGGTATATAGTATTGATTCTGTTGCAGATATAGGCATTGGTGTGTGTGTTACTTGGTTAAACTAATAATGTATCATGTTTTTCAGAAATGTATTTATAATTACTTCTTTTAGTTATGAAAACTTGAGTTACTTTTGAACATTCAAGAACTGTTTATTGGTATTTCTGTTGAATTGCTTGCTAATCAATGACATCTTAAACTGTTCATTTTTGTAATTCTTTCTTCTTCTTCTTCAGGTGCTATGGTCCTTGCATCTGGTAAGTCTGGCTCTCAGGCAGTTAAAAGAAAATGTCATCCCTGTGGGATGTATAAACGATATTCCTGGAAGAGAATACTGTCTTTTAACTGTCTTAGGAGTACTATTAAAATGCAGAGTTTACAGTTACCAAAGAGACAATGGGCAAATGCATTTCAATGTGTTTTATGGATGGCACGAGGTGCCAGGTATATTCCTAAGCATTCTAAACCGTGTTCTTGTTCCAAGGTAGTTTCTGGAGAACTGCAAATCATTTGGCCATTCAAACAAGTATTATTACGTGCCCATTGCCTCAATGCATCATTCTAGGTGCTGAAAAACTGCACAGAGAAAATGGTTATTAATGCATTTTCTGTCCTCAAATAGTCTGTGGTTAATCATAAACTACTCCTTGGTTATTTCTGGATTTCTGTCCAATCCTAAACAAGACAAAGAATGCTACCTTCAGTTGGATCCTGCTTCTTTTCCCTTCCCTTTCAGTGATTTAGGAGTCCATGGATGGTGCAAACTTTTAATGAGCTTAGCTATTAACTGAAGGGTTGGAGACTCCCCCCATAGGTGTCTAGGAAGAAAGCTCTGGCAATCTATTCCCAAAATTCAGCCACTAAAAAACCTGTGGAGCACAGTTCTATTCTGACACACATGGGAGCTGACTCAATAGCAATTGGTTTGGTTTTTCTTTATTCAGTGCTTTGAAGCAGCGTTATCTTAAAAAAATATATTGTATTGCTTTAGACATTAGGACAAAAACATAAACTGTGTTGCTGTTTCTTGTAACATTTCAACCAGTCCTTTTTCCTTTTTTCGGCTTTGCATATAATTATATTATTTGATAATTATGCTTTAAGTACAAGGTGAATATGCTCCTAAAGAAGATGGTAAGAAAAATGTTGGTTTAAAGCAGTTACAGTTCATTTGGCCTACTGAAAATTAATATGTATCAATTAAGTGTACAATAGCAAACGAGTAGGATTTTTTTTAATTTATTTAAAAAAATGTGTATTTTTAGGTTAGGTACTTAGAAACTAACTCCTCCATCTATGCATGCACAAATTAGCCAAGGAACAATAAGGCTAAGAGGAGGTATTTTTTATTATTATTTATCTCATTTTCTTTTCTTTCTTTTTTTTAATATTATGAATGAACTTCTCCTAAACTAAAATACTTATCTTGAAAGATTCCAACCATTGAGATTCATTGTATTTATTCTCTATTTTAAAAAGAAATAAATATATTTTAAATGAAAATCTCACAGTTTTACAATTTAATGTTCCCCAAAGTGATGAGTTGAATAGACACACTTTTTCTCACTTGCTCAGTGTCGTTCAATGAAGGTTTGTCTCTGAAATTTGAAGAATATACTCTGTGGTTTCCTAGAAACCTTCCCTTAGTGTTGGTTATAATTCCAACTTATGATGAAAAATAAAGAGCACCACTTTCCTTATTAAGTCAGAAATATGGCAACAGTTTCTGGTGATCTTATACCTTTAAAATACAAACTTGGAGATTATCTTTATTTCTTAAATTATTCTGTGAATCTGGTCACTTCTCACTTTAAAGGTAAGGAAAAGATACTGGTTTTACTGCTTACATTGTAACATAAATGAACAATGCAGATGATGTTAGAACTTGACAAGTATTTGAATGTTTTTCCTATTTAACTCTGCTAAGACAGAGATCCACTACTCATCAGTCAGTTGTCAGACTGTGATGGCTTGCATGTTTCTGTGATGCCGGAAGCTATGCCACTGGTATTTCAAATACCATCAGGGTCCCCCATGGTAGAAAAGTTTCAGCAGAGCATTCAAGTGTACAGATCATAACCAATTATGGGTAATACTGTGAAGAATGGGAATTCCAGCACACTTAATTGTGCTCATGCACAACCTGTACATAGACCAAGAAGCAGTTATTAGAACAAAACAAGGAGACGCTGTGTGTTTTAAAAGCAAGAAAGGTGCATGTGATGGTTGTATCCTTTGACCATACTTGTTCAATCTGTATGCTGAGGAAATAATCAAAGAAGCTGGGCTATATGAAGAACAACATGGCATCAGGATTGGAAGAAGACTTATTAACAACCTGTAATATGCAGATGACACACTTTGCTTGCTGAAAGTGAAGAAGACTTGAAGCCCTTCGCTTTGATGAAGATCAAAACTACCGCTTTCAGTATAGATTATACATCAGCATAAAGGAAACCAATATCCTCACAACTGGACCAATAAACAACATCATGAGAAATGGAGAAGAGATTGAAGTTGTCAAGGATTTCATTTTATTTGCATCCACAATCAAGTCCATGGAAGCAGGAGTCAAGAAAATAAACAAGTTATTGCATTGGGAAAAATTGCAACAAAGGACCTCTTTAAAGAGTTAAGAAACAAAGATGTCATTTTGTGGACTAAGGTTTGCCTCACTCAAGCCGTGGTATTTTCAATCTTCATCTGCATGTAAACAAGAAGAAGACCCTATATGAGATGGATTGACACAGAAGCTGCAACATTGGGCTCAAACATAGCAACAATTATGAGGATGGCTCAGGGCCAAGCAGTGTTTCATTCTGTTTTGCATGGGGTCACTATGAGTTGGAACCAACTTGAAGGCCTCTAACCACGAGAGAGACAGACTGACTAATCATCATAGAATTTCCTTATTTGCCTCATAAATAAAGTTTGTAATGTGAATTTTAAAGATCCACCCACTTTTCACTTATTGATATAGTTAGACTCCAAAGATCAGATCATTATATAAAAATCAGCATTATGTGAAAATGGAGGGTGATCACATTAGATCACAAAATGGACAATGACTACAATCATTCCATAGTGCCATCATTATATAACTGCAAAACCATTGAGAATTTGGCCCAACCTAATTGACACAGCCATAACCATCCATCCAGCATTAGTCTTGCTTTGCACCTCAGCAGTCATTATTTCAGACATATGTCATTGATGCACTAGTTAGTTGCATAGTACATTTTTTTTTTTACTGTTGACGTAATGTGATACAACAGGATAACAAGATAGTTGATAAGTGAGGAATAGGCGTGTTCTTCCATTGGCTTTGTATCAGTGTTTCTCAGTTTGTTTTTTTTTTTCATTATTTCCCTTTTAGACATTTTTGTTCCTAATCATCCCTCCATGAACTTTTAATATCACTGATATATTGTAATTCTGTTTACATATATCTGTACATATGAAAAGAATAAAAATGTTTTACTCCTTTGGGAGGTGATATCACTCTCATTGAATATTCATACCCTATATGGTATATTTTAAAGATAATATGGTATAGTAGAAAGGGCCTGAGCTTTGGAGTCAATCAGAACTTGGTTTTAAGTGACTGGGTGAAGCCACATTTCTTCAGAAAATGAGATAAACATTTGATTAGTGCCAGCTCTAGTAGTTAAAATTCCAACTTGGGTTCTTTAAGAAATGGAGATGATACTCTATCTAGAAGTATAGTGTTGTTGTTGTTGTTATGTGCCATCGAGTCGGCCCCGACTCATAGCAACCCCTCCTTGGGTTTCCGAGGCAGTATCACTACGGAAGTAGGATTGCCCAACCTTCCTTCCGAGGAGTGGCTGGTGGGTTTGAACCACCAGCCTTCTGGTTGGCAGTCAAGTGCCTTAGCCACTATGCTACCAGAGCTCCTAGAAGTATAATAGCCATCTAATATAAATTTTCCTCAGAAGGAAGGTTGCGCAATCCTACTTCTGTAGTGATACTGCCTTGGAAACCCAAAGAGGGGTCACTGAGTCGGGGCCAACTCGACGGCACATAACAACAACAACAATATAAATTTTGTTGAATACTCTCAAGTATTTTCATTGGGAATTCTATGGATAATTAAAATCATGGCATGGGTCAGAAGTAAGTTTTTATTTCTAATGATAAACTGCTTGACTTATTCTTTTTTGATCCCAGATTTCTCATCTGCAGAAGGATATTATAATGGTTAAGGTTGTGTGTCAACTTGGCTGGGCCATGATTCTCAGTTTTTTGGCAGTTGTGATGTAGTCCTCATCCATGATAAGATCTGATATAATGTAATCACTTTCATGATGAGATCTTCTATGAAAAGCCAATCAGTTGAAAGGGAGTTTCCTCAGGTATATGGCCTGCTTTCAATATATATATGGATGTTCTGGCAAAACTCTCCATCTTTTTACTCAATCTGGATCCTCCATCTAGTTTGTCATCATTTGGCCTTGATTCTTTGGACTTGAGCCAACAGCCTGCCATATTGCCTGCTGATTTTAGGATTCATCAGCCTCCCCAGCCCTTGATCCAGCAGCTTATCATCTGACCTACAATCTTGGTTTCATTAGCTCCTGCAGCTATATGAGTCAGGAGAAGCCTTCAGCCGGACATCTGACTCATGGACATGGGACTTGACAGCTTTGACAATTGTGTGAGCCATTTCCTTGAGATAAATACTTTCTCTCTCTCTCTCTCTCTCTTTGTGTGTATAACCAAAAAAAAAAAAAA